ATCGTCTCTGTACTTGATAGGGCTGACTTTGTGCGCAACTCTCGGAATTCCCAGCACCATCGGCATCTTAGCTGGGTTGGAAAATCAGATTGAACGATCTTGATGCTCTGCAGCCATGCAGTAGTAGTAGTCAATCAGCCTCATGAACTCTATTCCGTCCGACGTCCATTAGGTAGTTGGAAATCCACGTGTGGTCTTACAATTAAGCATAATGCTTGACATTTTCCCGACCAGACTTCCACGCATCAGCTCTCGTTAAAGTTAGGCTTCTCCATTGAATCCGGAATCCGAATGCCCCACATCGACTGCATTTAATCTACACTAGTGTACTCCGTAATAATGATCAAACTCGAAAGTCAAGGGGTTTCCCCTTTTGAGGGCGGGAATCATTGCCTCTGTACCAATCACAATTGCACGTAAACGGAAACTCCCCGGGTTTAGAGGCGGGGATTCTTGAAAGGATACGAGATGCATGGGTCGAGACCCGGGAAAACCTCAATGGAATACGGATACATTTCCCGTGTATTATCTCCAGCACCCCGTCTCGACCTTTTAAGAGTAAACGAAGGAAATTGACCACTTTCATCGGAGCAAGACAACGCCACCAATGCATGACCTGAGTCTTCTGAATCTTCATAAAGACGTTAGAGACTCCGGCATTTTCTCCTGATTGCCTGCTTAAGTAAGCTGCTGCAAGGAATTCAGCCATCCGCGCTGTCGATACAATAGCCAGATTGCAAAGCCACGGACGCACCGGACACTAGATGGGAACAACTGCACCCGTGAGGTTTTCCATGTGCAAGGGTCGATGGGATCAGTGCAATCGGTGATGGTCTACTCAAAGCTAGTCACCATGAGTAGTGTCCATCCTCAACCGTGCATCCCAGTCCACGCTTGCTACAAGCCTATATAGATATCCTCATTCTGTTGATACTGACTACTGCGCAGCGTCGGCTGACAAAATTAGTCAATAAGGGTATGCTACGGCCCAATAAAGAATCTGCAGAGGGCCTGAACCGATTAGGTGACGATAACTTCGACCTAACAGAGACTTCTCCCGTTGTTGCGTGCAGAGCGGCAAACAGGTCCTAAACGCGGTTGGTTTCGAGGTGGCTGCGAGTGGTTCCGACTGAGCTGAGTCAAGTCCTGGCATCAGGCACGAAAGGAGATGAGCAGAGTTACGAACAAGGCATAAGCTTCGAAGTGCCTTCGGTTGATAGCGCTTGATCGACTCTTCTTTCTCGGCTCACACAAAATTCGGCGACTTGTAAAGTTCAATTACTGTCGCAATCGACGCTCGGTCGTTGTGTCAAGGGCAGTTTTCCTGTTCTCGCGATTCCTAGCAATTCTCGATTACCATTCACGATGAGGAGTAAACACGATAAGAGTCACGGTTAGCTGCGACGTCGGTGACGGGGATGCGGTTTCGTCATTGTTCTCATTTTGTGCCTAAACTGTCTCCTGTGCATCATCTCAAGACATGCCGTCCGATTCTTGCAGGGAAACCCCAATAACTTGCAAGGTATGTCGATCTTATAGTCCAATCATGTTGATGATCTTGTGATTGATGTGCCATATGCTTGGTTCTTCAAGGTCCAACCTCAAACACTCCCGTCTGATTTTAAACCATCCGAAGAGCCGGAGGCACTATGTTGATCGCCATTTGCCTCAGAATAAGGTAGTCTGAGCTTCCATCGTCTTCCAGTTAGTGAGTCACGATATGACTACATATTACAAAAGAGATTGATTCGTCGAATACTGCCAGAGTGATGTGGTTCTAATTACCCTAATATCTTTATTCTCATCATTGAGTTGAACTCAGTTTGTTCTCAAGGTTCTGTGAACCCCGTTTCAACATCATCCGCTCCGCGCAGCAACCCCAGGGACTTTCTTTTTTCTCAAGAAGCTGAACCATTTCTACATTTCCACCATCGCTCCAACTCATTTAAATTTCGGGAAGAAGTGTCAATAATAGTCTAACGACCTGCAACATGCGACCCACCAAGGCTCTTTTCGTACTATTCGGCGCATCTAGCGCATCGGCTGCCACCATTCTGCGACAGGCTGACGGTATTGATTTCGGCAAATGCACGCCAACAATGGATTTTCAACTGGGCCGCACTGGGCGCAAGCCGGATCAAGGCACCTTCTTACCAACTGACCCTCTCGTAGCCAAGGATCAACAAGACGCGCTGAATCCAAACATTATCACAAACCGAATTTGCGATCAGCTCACCAACGTATGTGAGGCGACTCAGGCTGCAAAAGACCAGTGTCAGCAGGCTAAGGCTCAGGTCTCTGCGGCAGGCATCAAAGATGCTTCTGCTGCGACCATGTTCAACAGTGCCATGGGTTTCTAGGGAGGAAAGCCAATGGTCTGATTACTTCGATGGGGGTTGCGGGATGAACTGGAAAGTTGTGCTGTACTCTGACCCCCCAATCGCCTACATTTCAAGTCTCAGAGTCAGGTCGAATGGCTCGGCTGAACAGTCCGTAACACATTGTATGCAATTCGGCGCCAGTTCAAATGTTCTAAATGCAGAAGCTTGGGTGCGGATCTCACACGGAGAGAGCGGATGCAAGGGAAAGCACCATTGGACATAGGTGTGACTTGATAAAGGAAACGAATCAAACTATTACCTGCATAAGGTATACAGTCAAGCCCTCCAAACCCAGGAATCAGTTATTTAAGGCCTCAGTGTGTGAAGATGTTGACAAAAGTACAAAGGTAAGTATTTTTCCCTTTCGAGTGTGACTCAGCTTGTTCGAGGACATGGAATAGATGTTTCGTCCGCGAGATCAAAATCTTGGCTCTTTTAAGCCTCTGATATTTCTATTAATCAGACGAACCATGTTTAAGAGGAGCGATCTGCGTTGAAAATGCTATCCTCAAAGATTTCATTTGACAGGATTCTTAGTCCAAGGCGAAGCATCCTACTATTGCCGTATGTTGAAGTATGGTTAACCGAGGATAAAATGCAGGAAACCCTTACTTATTTATGGGAAAGTGAGGATCATGAAATCTCCCCAAAACAGTAGTGTTCCATTGCTTGTGGTGGTACATGATCTCTAAGCTATTCCATCTGATACTTTTGTCAAAGGTCGTGGGCTCAGTGCTGTGTGGATTTGTGAGGCATGCAGACGTGTACGTTATTTCTGCAGTTGTCGTCGGGGCGCGATGCTAGGACCTTCCACCTAGTACATCAAGGCGAGTCTGGGCGAGTTATCAATTAGCTGCCTGGTCAGAAAATTAGACCCGATAGGAGAGTATCGAAGTGAGGAGAGAGCTTCACGAGGAGAATGGAAAGGACAACGGTTCCAGAGGACTCACGAGATTTGAGGGCGGTGAATGCACATCAGTGTTGGTGCCATCGTTTCATCCACCATCCGATATTCATTTCATTGGAAAGCCCCAAGCTGGTCCAAACTGGTGGAAATCCATCAGCCAAGCGCTAGAGACTCATACTTGTTCGGTCGCATTCATTAGAAGTCCGGTGGCTGCCTGGACGGGGCATGCTCGTAACCCCGCTAAACCCCGCGCACTTCGTGTGGACCAGACAAAAAGTATTGAACGAGACAACAGACAAAACAGTTCCCGGACTTCTAGCCACGGCGCTAATGCCTTTGCTTCTCGAACTATTACATTCTTCAATGCTCAAACTGTTCATGCCAGATGCTAAGAACATAATTGGAATTGGGACCGTCATGATAAATGATTCACAACACCATACAGGGACGATATGACGAGCAACCCATCGTAGAACGCGACATGATAGGCTTATTTGTTGCTCATGGCTCCGAGAAGGAAGCCGCGTAAGGAGAAGCACTAGACCAGCAGGATCTTCTACGATGCTGTTCTTGATCATATTTCCTCACGTAAAGTAGTATACGCTCATTTGCAGGCCGAAATAGATACAGGCATCATCATCATCGCCCGCTTCTGATAATTGAAGCAAGAAAGCCTCGTATCTCTAGGCACTCATTAGGAAAGGCTATAGGTTATGGCCGCCCGCAACAGCTTTGCTGCCCAAGGTCTCCGAACAAGACGAGGTGTGTGTGGGATTCACGTTTCCCCAGAAACCAACGTCGTATGGCCACTTTGGACCATTACGAGAAATAAGAAGGTCCTTGGATAGGATGTCGGTCTTTGGCCTAATCTGGTGAGTTGCTATTCCTTCAGAGATATGGCGGCTGAGGTATTGGGCCAGCAGGTTATGATTGGCTTTGTTTCTGGAAGTCGATATGAGTGTTTGAGCAAAACCATCGCCAGAATTGAGTTGAACAAAGTTATTGTTCAGGTGAGTCTGGCTAGAACATTCTTCGAGTCTTTCCTGTTCAACTTGACAAGGGCGAGCGCTTTAATTACCAACTGGACTTGGCTTCACCAATCATAGTTGATGTCCTGGAAGTTGGAATTACCCTTCTTGGACCCTACAGACTGTTGGGATTCCTCGGACGTTCCATTCTTCATTCAAAGCGACTTGTATGTGAGGGTCGCACGACGAGCCTAGATCGCCCAAAGATAAATTCGTTGAAGCTGGTAACATCAGAAAGTAATTTTACCGTGGGGTGCGTTAATGGTCCGAGCAATCGATCGCGAGAAGGTATTCCAATGAGTAAGGTTTCAATACTCTTGCCACAGGTACTGGAAGAAACCGCACCTGTGGTTTTGGCCCCTGATACACATTCCAGTACTTGTCATCAAGAGGCTTCCACAACGGCCAGTATCATACTAGCCAGTATTGTTACTTAACAACTGAGCAGAACATTAGGGGGCTCTTGACTCAAATATCAAGCCAAGGTTCACGCTGTATCCACCTGCGAGTGTCACGTGTCTCTTCATAGGTGCCAGCCGTATGGCGTGAAGTCCATATATTTTGAGCTTATCAATCTTCACGCGTAAGAGGCTCTCACTCAGGTAAGCAGGGTAAATGGAGGATTTTTGACATGACTGTGCATGCCATCTTTCCTCCCCTTGCACGTCATGCCATGTCGATAGCATGCCGAACTCCCCACGCTCATCGCCCAATGGGACTCACCCCAGACTCATGCCCCAAGTCACCGGTGGCCAGGACGGTGAAGTCGCTTTGACATATCAGGGAGGCCTTATATCCGCACAAGCTATGAATGCTGTCACAGAGCAAGTAACCTTGAATCACCCTCAGCCCAATGCGCTGGACAGACTCGCAAGAACTCAACCCGCGACAGGCGGAACTTTCGGGCCGCCCTTTCTGACTGCAGGGTCGGGCCTGGACCCCGGATGCGCTCCGCTAGATGATAACCTCCCGACTGGCACCTCTGGCCAGATTTGGCCTTCGATGTTTTCCACGGCTGATAGCGATCCCCAAGAGACACCGATATCCTGGATATATGACGGAAGCAGTGAGGCGGTGGATCCGAATTATGCGCTTGGCGATATTCCGTGGTCTCTGCAGTCTCCGGCTACGACGTCAAACCACATTAACTGGCCGATCCCCTCCAATGATGAGCTTGTTGGCCAAACTGTGTTCAACACCAATAAAGGCCTCCCAAGAAGACGGAGTCGTTATCGATTTGTGCATTCCGAGAAGCAGGCCAATCCAGTACCAATTCCTGTATCTACAAGCGTTGGGGAATTGAGTCCTATGCAGCGGTGGAGGAAGTCTCCCCCGCAAGATGAACCAGCCTCCATCACTGCCATACATGACGCGCTGGAGAATAGTACTGCTCGCCTCGACGTCAGTCGAACACCGAATGTTGCTGATTATGCCCGCACTGAATCCAAAGCCAGCTTGGGCAGTGGCGAGAGCAGTTCATCTATACAGTCGGCAAACTCAGTGTGGTCAGCAGCATCAGACACGTCAAGAGGTCGACAGAACGAATCAAGTTTACTTGATCGCACCAGGCGGGGAAGAGTGTCTAAGAAACGCGCAGCTGCCGCTTCCCAGAAAGACGATCGCCCCTTCAAATGCACATTCTGCTGCGATAGCTTCAAGACTAAGTATGATTGGGCTCGGCACGAGAAATCGAGGCACCTTACCTGGAGTCGTGGATTTGCGCACCGCGGGGAGGTTCGGTCATGTCTACAGTGACTGGCAGACCTCTTTGTGCGTACTGCAGCGAGGTAGACCCGTCAGAAGAACATCTTGATGGTCACAACCATAAAGCATGCTACGACCGACCGATAGAAGCAGGATCATTTGGAAGGAAAGACCATCTTGTTCAACACCTCCGCATTATGCACAAACTAGACATAATGCCTCGATTCGATGGATGGAAGGCTGAAGCTGTGCGGATCTCTTCTCGATGCGGGTTCTGTGACGTGGAGTTCATGACCTGGAACAAACTCGTTGACCATCTCGCCAACCACTTTCGCCATGGTGCAATGATGAAAGACTGGAAGGGAGAACACGGATTCAGTCCAACAATTGCGCAGCAGGTCGCGCATGCCCTGCCTCCCTACCTCATAGGTTCAGAGTCGCTGAGTGTTGTCCCATTCTCAGTCACGAATCAGAGCACCAGAGACCATTTTGCTCAGATATCGTCTCGTACACTTGAGTCACAACAAGAAAATGGAAAGAAGACCGCTGCAATAGATACTGCGACGTCTTTACTGCCAGAATCAATCCTCAGATCCAGGGCAGCAACGTCAAAAGCTTTCACAGAGATCCTGGAGCAACATTTGAGGCATTTTGTAAAGGAGCACCTCTCTCAAGGGTTCGACATCACAGACGAAATGCTTAGACAAGAGTCGAGGCGTGTGATTTACGACTGCGACGACGAATGGAATCAGACTGTTGCAGACAATCCCGAATGGCTAGAAAAATTCCGTCAGCGCCATGCTATTGGCTGCGGTGGTGGTGGTGACACTGCCGCCGAGGAAACTCTTGGATTATCAAAAAGCACTTGAGAAAGAATTTGATATTTCGTGTCTCTACAGAAAAAATACAAGTATCCCGCACATTCATCGCTCACTTTCATGCTTGTATGTCTTTGTCAATGATTCTCATGGCGTTTAAACACTCTTCATCATAAAATCGAGGAGCAATGACTTGAAGCGAACACGGGGCGCCGTCGGTTGCTTCTGGATCATCTGTGTTCGGTTTAGCACCAGGCACGAGAAGAACAGCAGAATTAGAACGCAAAGTACTTACAGTCCGCTTCAAAATTTGAGGCCGCTTTCTGGTAGTTGGGATCTCTCGTCTTGGAGGATACCCCATATGGTATTATCCCTGCTGGATACTGCCCCCCCACAGTTAGTTGAATTGTTGGCTGCAGAGAGGCGATTGCACTGGCTTACGTCTAACACATTCCACATCAAGGTGTAGACAGGGATGCCATAGGTATCGTGGGGGACCGCGGTGCTGATTGCTCCGGGGCCGACGACAACATCGAGGTGATACTCGGTCCAAATGTTCTTCCAGCTGTTGGCATAAGAAGCCTGTAAGCCAAGGAACTCATCCAGTTGGTGTACTGTGTCCAGCTCCGTTGAAATAAGAGGCTTTGAAGTTGTGAAAGGATGAACGCCTCGTTTCACTGAATGTACCAGTGGTTCACCAATCTCACTCGCCAGGGCATCCAGACCGGAAGATCCTAGCCCGAAGTAATGGAATCCCAGCTTTCCACCAACACTGGCACTGCAAGCGGGGTTTGCTGGTAATTTGACGATACTGTGCCCTGCGCCAGTCAATTTTGAGACTGCGTCTTGAAGCGCTCGTCGAACAGGCGGCTGCAAGGGATATTCCGGATCTTCGGGAAGGATACCGATGGTCAGGGTCTTGTTGCTTCCATAGGAGCTTCTCCAGGGGGCGTTGACTGCAGATGCGTCATAATGCCAAGGCCGACGACCGATCACTGTTTCCATAAACAAACTGAGATCATCAACTGAATTTGCCATCGGCCCAGCGACAGGGGTGACTCCAGGAAGCTGGAGTTTGCGGAAGGGATAGTTAGCTTGCCCTCCAAACGGCGTTCGATCCGCTGTGGGCTTGAAGCCATAAATGCCGCAACAAAGTGAGGGGATCCGGATTGATCCTGCAATATCGGAGCCAACGCCCAATACTGAGCCTCTGAATGCTACAAGAGCTCCCTCACCACCGGTTGAACCGCCGGCGGTAAGAATCGTCTTGTGTGGATTCAAAGTTCGACCGAAAATGTTGTTCTCCGAGTCGGCAGTCTATTTAACTCTCGTCAATATACACTCGACCAAAACTTTTGATCGATGCAGATCAGCAGGTCACGAACCATCATGGTCTGCGGAACGTTCGTTTTACAGAATAGGACGGCTCCAGCGTCCACTAGGAGATCGACCATCGCCGAGTTAGAAGTAGGCAGTGGCCTTTTCAAAAACTCGACATAACCGACAGTAGCGTAATGACCTCTAACGACGAAAGAATCCTAAATTCATCAGTTCTACAGGCCGAACAGGCGGACAAGTTTTCCGGATGGGGATACCTTGAGGCTAATTGGTAGGCCGTGCAGTGGCCCTACGAGCTCTCCAGTACGCTCTAGGTGCTGGTCAAGTTCTCGAGCCCTCTTGATTCCTTCATCGAAGAATATTTCAGTTAAGCAAGAAGTCTAGAAGATGTCAGTACATGTGATTCGGCGTTCGGGAGCTCGGCCACAACCTACGGTGACGGAGCGGGATGGAAATGTCCTTACAAGCTGTTGAGCGAGAGCAGCGCGCTTGCAAAACGCCACTGCCACTTCTTCCGATGTGAGTTTCTTGTGATGAATCTTGTCGAGCAACTCTCGCGCGTTGTAACACTCTGTGATGTCGAGTTCCTTTCCCGTCAATAACGCTGATTTCCGAGCAACATCTTGGGCTATTAGTCGACCTTCTTCGGCAGTTCCCTTGCCTCGAAGCTTGGCTAGCTGATCATCAGAGATTCTCCATTCCTGAGGTATGTTCCGCTGTTGCTCCAACCGGTGACGAGAAGCAATCGCTTCCCATTCCATTGCCGCGGGCATTGATACTACGCCTTATAGGTTCAGAAGGTATCGTGGAAGAAAGAAGTTTCATAGGTTGCATGCGCTATTGTTTTGATTTGGATGCGATAGTCGAGTAGACCGAGGGCAAGAGACAGAGGAGAAAACTGGACTGTGTTGTCTTCTTTTCAACCCCAATGCACCTTGATGCTAGAAACGTCGCCGGAATTGCGGACGATGGCACGCATCCCGGGCGGCTTGTTGGCGCGTCCAATGGCCCAATAGGGAAGGAGATGCCGCCAGATCTTGGCTGGCAGAGTTGCCGATGCCGTCGGCTGCCGGGAGTCAAAAGACTGATGCGTACTTAGGCTTATAATTCTGAGGAGTCGGCATCTGCGCTCGGGAGATGGATGGGTGACAGCTCTTTCGACTCTGCAACAATTGCGTAACAAACCCCCTCTTATCAGCCTGCGAATACATTGATTGTGAAGAACTATTTAAAACTCCGTCTCGAGCATTCGGCACATGTCCCAGCACGTCGTGCCAATACCAAAAGCCATTCACAGTTCGACTCTCCATCTACTTACTTCGATCCAGGATACATTCGGCAGGTCGACCCGCGCTCAACTTACATCCTAGTCATGGCACCCGCGAGAAGCTCCGATCATGCCCCCTCCCCCGGAAACGCCTTCTCGCCAAGTGGAGTCGCTGTGCCACCCATGCGCATGCCACATCTGGACTTCATCTATCGTATCGTCTGCGATATGGACCCCAACGTGTCCGAAATTGCAAACGTTGATAACACGGGCGTCACTCGTCTTGTTCTGCCTATCTTGAGCGGGTCAGTCAAAGGCCCTAGGATCACAGGCAAGATTGTGGAGAGAAGTGGTGCAGATTGGGCCGAGCGCATTAGGCCTGACAAGGTTAGCACGGTGTAAACAAGTCACCCATGAAGGGAAGTTCATACGGCTTACCGCTCTCTAGGCGTTCTCAAGGTTGCATGCCATGTATACTCTCCAGACTGATGATGGTGTCTTCATCCTCGTCAACGCCCAGGGTGTTTTCCGCACTGGCCCTGGTCGAACAGACAAATCGCCTCGATCTTCAATCAGTCAGGATGACGTTGAGTATTTCACGCACATTAGGTTTGAAGCACCAGGGGGAAGCCCTTACGACTGGATGAACGCTGTGGTAGCACTCGGGGTAATGACCATGTTTGAGGGGCGCCCTATCATCGACTGCTATCGACTCACAAACTTCCCTGGCGTAGCGGCAGAAAAGCTTTGACCTGGATAGTGTGCAGAATTGTCTAACTGGCCACTAGATGTAGGTATCCAGCAAACAGATAAAGACTTCGACATATCTCATAGCCGCATGTGTAAATGTAGTGAGACACCAGGTCAACCACGACGAGCCCAGCCAAGTTGAACAATTTAAAACGCAGAAGTATTCTGTAAATACTAGAAAGACGGAATCTGAATTCTTGCCATACTCGGGAGTGGTGCCAAAGTTCTTACATACAAGCAAACCTCTGGTCAGGCTGGCAAAATAAGATACACGTACTCAGCACACTAAATCTGCATGCGCCTCTCCACAAGTCGCAAGTATCGGGGAGCCAGAATGGTGCGAATGCGCTTGCCCCAGATGATCATAGGAACATACAAAAGACCGATGAGAAGAGAGATAACCCCACTCAGAATGTACATATTGGTAAGGCCCATGTTTGACATCCAGGGCACAAGCGCCGAAGGGACACCTACGCTGACAGCATTACGGACAAACGCGACACCAACAAAGGCTTCGGCAGTCAGCTGTGGAACCATATGTTAGTCAAAGTCATTGTATCGAATATTGATGCATTCACCTCTCGATAAGTATCAATAACAAATGTAAAGGTGATGTCTCCATTTGCACCAAGGCCAAATGCGAATAGTGCGCCGCCGATGCTAGGGAAGATCCAATGCATTCCCTAGAGCTGTTAGTTTAACCAGTCGATGGAGCAAAAGAAGACATGTGGCGCAAAGGTGACTTACTCGATCCGCGGTGACTCCAAACATGACAATACCACCAGCCATCGTGATCACGGGTAGAAATAAGGGATACAGTCGCATTTCCGGCTCGAAAACGCCCCCATTCCTCTTAGCCAAGCGCAAAACAGTCCAGTCTGCTAAAGGTCCGCCGTAAATACTGCCGAAAATGTTTCCAACAAAAGGTCCGAGGTTCATATATCCGATTGCTGCAGTATTGAAATTGTAGGGGGGCGCAGAAAAGACGACGGATACAACCGACATGAACAGTACTAGCCAGCAAACACCGGATGCAAACTGAAGAGCAGTGAACATGACGTGTGGAAGAGTAATGACATGAAGTGGCAAGATGAAAACTCGCAGTAAGGATTCCGAGGTTGGTGTCAATAATCGCATGCGTTCGCGGTAAGAATTCAGTGGGACATTCGTAGCGGGATTGGACCGCATGTAGTTCAGCTCCAGACCGCCTTTATCAAGGCTTCTGACTTTTGCCATATCATTCCCGCCAATCGGTGAGTTGTCGTCTGTAAGGTCGCTTTCGCCGAGGCTTATGGGAATATATTTGGTCTCTTCATACAAGAAAACAAACATGAAGAAGAGAACTGTCAGAGAGATAGAGAGGGCGTAGTATGACCAGCGCCATCCCTGAGTCACGGCTTGGGAGCCGGCAGCCAAAGGCGTCAAAAAGCTTCCTGCCATTACGGCAGTAAAATAGAGACCGTTGGCAGAACCTCGCTGGTGAACGAAGAAAATATCGGCAATCTGTTGCAGGAAAGAATCATTAGCGAAAAGGCGAGATAAGACCAGGGGATTTTGATAAGTATTACAGTCATTTGCACCGCGGTCTCGTTTATAGCGCCAGCTAGTCCCGTGATTACAGCTGTGGCAATAAGTTCTGCGTATGAATGCATAGAAGATGTCCACCACGCTGCTGCAGCAAGAATCGCTGTGGAAACTAAGTACGTTAAGCGACGACCATACTTGATTGTGAACGGAATGAAGAAAATGCAGCCTGTGGCAAGTCCTGCAAGCTGAGCGGACTGCGCGTTGCTGAGTTGGTTGATAGACACATCGAGATCAACGGTCATCTGTTGCCAGAAGACGGTTTGGATCGAGAGGCTATGGAGGAAAGCAAACAAATCGTCAGCCGGGGAGTTGGTCCGCGAAGGGCAACAGATGGATTGGAAAACCGATGTGGCTCTAACGTACTTGGTGAAAGCGGCCACGGTGACGCCCATGGCAAGACTGTAGTTAAGATACTTTCTCCATTTGCTCCAGTTCTATTTCACGCATTCAAAGAGTAAGAAGATGTCATTACCGGAGCATCACAAACAGCAGAATCCGTACCAGTGGGTCGTTCGGGTCTGACGATGGAGTTGGGGATAGAACAAATATTGGGGACTCTGTAGCGTCCTCATCTGGGGTAGAACGCAGACGTCAGCACAGGACTTCAAAGACTTCGAGTAAGAGGCATACAATTGAGCAAGTGAACTGTTCCCGGAGGAAGGGGTGTGTGTTGAGCCATTGTCACTGCTGGGACGTCCATCGGGAACTCTCTACCACAGCGTTGAGGCGAGAGCAGAAGGAGACACAAACAATAGTGGGCTTATGGGCTAGATGTGGTGAGGTGCTGTTGCGTTTAGGAACCAGCCTAGAATATTGTCGCATTTGATGCAGACACAGCAATGAGTCGAGCAGGCAACGGGCATTTAATATAAAATACCAAGGTAAGTTGACCTTCTCAGGAGACTTCTATTTCGGCCTGGGTACTACTCGAAGTTGTGTGACAGCTGGGATTTTGGTGTGTGCCACGATAAGCCACGCGCCCAGGTTAACCCTTTTCAGTCATAGGAGACTGAAGCACCTGCACCACATTTAGATCAGGATGATAATCTTCGAGAGCCCCGGTCGTAATCGAAGACGATGAAGACCATGGCGAGAATGACCAATGCCGTTGTGATAACAGGACTGGGGACTTGATTACAGTCCCTGTGAGTGTACACTAACCAGCAAGTCTGACGAGGTCTTGACGCCATGTACTGGCAAGTCCCTGCTGGACCCTCATCCCTTTCTTTCCGAGGGCATTCCGCATGGATAACAGAGAACTCTATTTGTCTTAGCGGCCTCGCCCCCGCATTTATGAAGCTGCAACATGATTGCTTGGACCCCAGAATCGAGCGTCTGAACCATGCCCTATTCGGCATATATATGCGCTCGCGGCCCCGTCTGCCTTTCTTGGGAAGTTGAAATCTCAATTCTTCATTCATCGTCGGCAAGGTCGGCCATTTCGAGAACTCCGCTGAGCAGTCAATTGCAAGGCTTGAACAGATAACGATTACGCTGACCTCACTCGACAGCCATCAGTAGGTTATCGATGGGTCGCTCTAGGGGAGGATGCTCCAATTGTAAGAGGCGGAAACGGAAATGCGACGAGACGCGTCCAGATTGCCGAGCATGCCAAAGGCGTGGCATCCAGTGCGAGGGCTATAACACCACACTCAAGTGGACCAACGGAATAGCCTCGCGGGGTCGATTTGCTGGGGCCGCAATCCCTGACCTTGCTGCGAACAAAGCGAGCGCCAACTCAACTACTTTTGATAGCTATCTGCCGAACGCTGAAGATCCACTACACCACACTGGATCATCCTCAGCATCTCCCGGGGCCGATACACCGAAGCTGTCCGGGGCCGCTCAAGAATCAGATACACCGGGGTCACACTCTGAAATCTCATATTTGGCACCATCGCCCGGCGGCACCAATGACCCGAAACGGCAGCTTTTCCAGAAATGTAAGTCATTCGCCGCTTGGCTCTGTCACGTATAGGTATTCGAGTACTGACCATGTCGCAAGTTCTCAACGCGGGGATGCACCGACTCTACACCACTGAGAGCTCTGGTTGGATGAAATCTCACTTTGTCTCAATGGCAGAGAAAAGCCAAGCATTTGCTATCGTCTGTGGTGCTATCCAAGCATACCTAGACGACGGTTTCTCAGTCTCGTCAATGGAATACGTCGATCACGCGCTCCAAACTTTCCGATCGGAATTAGAAAGCCGACACAACTCCTTCGATGGATCCACCGTCTCTGCTGGCCTGCTTCTCTGTAGTCTATGTGTAAGTCTCGAAAAAGCATAGCATCGCCGTATGCGAATCGGCTACCCATATCTCACGCGTACAAACGTCTCGAATCTGATATTTCTTACTAACTCACAGCCTTTATGTAGCTGCTTCAAGCTCGCCCTTGGACGATGTATCTTCAGCTCATGGCCGGCCTGTACCATCTAGAGACGAACTTGAGTCATCTGCTGCCCTCAGCCGACCATGAGTTCACCATCCGGCACTCCATCGAAGTCTTGTCTATCATGGACATGGATATCATGGTGATTGGTCGAATAACACCGAGCATGAATGTTTGGCGCCACCTACGAAAAGTCCAAGATTCTTGGAAAGGCGGTAGGCTCGGTGGGGTAGAGACCGTATCGGGACTGCCCAGATCGCTACTAGATATTCTCGCTGATATGAGGGAGAGCAGCGCGAGTGACATAGAATCCCAGCTCTGGACTTGGCCAGGAGAGATTGGTGAGCATGCCCAATGCATGCTTTGGGACTGCTGGCGGTATACAGCGGTCTTACATGTGAGGCGATTATACCGATCCAGCCGATCCAGAAGAAAGTTGGCATCGTCCGATGATGAGAACCGGCCGGGACCTCACTCAGGTGACCTGACATCATTCCCGTCAAGAGAAGTCGTCATGTGTCGTTTGGCGGCATCGGTTTACGCACTATACAGGGCAGTTGAAATGCCTGCCAACCACCACCTTCTGGTTCACAACGGGCTCATGTATCCTTTAGTGATAGGCAGCCTCGAAGTCCCCATCCTAAATGCTCATCCAGAGTGGAAGCAGGTTTTCGACGATGTGCGGTCATCGTTCTTGAGGAAAGACTCATTTCGGCTCATAAATATAGTTGACGAGGTCCTTGAAGAAGCATCCAGGGAGGGAACTGATACATTTGACATAGAAGAAGCTGCTAAGGCTCGAGGTGTTGAGATCGCAGTCTTTTAACCTGTTGAGGAAAGCGGTCCGGGAATAGGAAGAAAATTGCTCAAACGCCTGAGTTCGTCTTTCTAAACTTGCTGCCCTACACACGCACTTGTGCAGTGATTTGCCTGTCGCTTCTCGTTCATCCGTTTGAGACATCAAGACTGGAGTTGGGTGGTATGATGGGCGCAGACAAGATATCTCGGAAAGATAGGTGGAACATAAATGACATCCAGGTTTTTGCCTCGTGATAACCCACTCTTCTCAGAATACTCGAGCTGTACAAGGATACGGTCATTGACGAACTCAGTTCCCTGCCCGCACATGATATGGTGACCTGAGCGATGAAGAGTAGTGATGACAAGAAGGTCAGGCCGATGCACTCGGACATCTCGAAGTGCCTTTCCGATGGAAATTAGTTGGGTTCGAGGTTGCAGGCAGTTAAAGTCGGTCTCTAGAATAGTTTAGTGATTCAAATTGAGAAAGCGTTGATTAATTCTATACGTGCTGTGGGTGCTAGTGCCTTGATGAAATCCGTAGTCTCTGAGAACGGCGTATGTTGTGCCGTCCGCAAGAACAAGTCTAACTCATAATTCGAGACTTTCATGTTCTGACCGTGGATGAACGAAGTCCCCAGGTATGTGATGTCGCGACTTGATTTGTCTCCTTCTAACGTCCCTCCTGTTGCGGATCGAAGTCTCAAGAAGAAGGTAATGAGTACTAGGAACCTTGAATCTACGAAGGATGACTTCCGGCATCTGTTAAGTGAATCCACGATACCGTAGGTACATCAAGTAACGCAAAGCGAATGTCTATTCCCAAAGCAATAAAGAAGTCATAGTTGAAATTCTCAGAGCAGGTCTTATTCAATCCTCATATTTCAATCAGCCTAAGGTATTTATGAGAGGCAATGTTTTACGCATTTCCTTGAATATTTACCGATTAACGTGAGCCTTGAAGACTGCAGACCTGCTTATATATACGTGGGTATAACTGCATACCATGTGAAATATCAAAGTTGAACTTTAAGGGATTCTAGTTTTGTTCGGAAAATCTGATTCACTTGAGTCCTATCTATGCGCTGGCGATCCCATTTGTCCCCGCGATCAGCTACGAATATTGTTTTAATCATGTGAGTTTCATCTCTCCCTTGAAAATGGAAGTCAGAACTCGTGCGAGTTCAATGCATCATCGTCATTGTCTTAGTCGAAACAAAGTTTCCCTGACTTTCCTCGTCGCTTTTTAGCAAGCAGCACATGGGGTCGTCGTTCTACCTGGTCGGATTTCCAGGGTGCCTTCTGATACGGCGAGAAATCCTCGCAAATGTAATTAGCATACGCACGTTCCAAGACGCTCAGAAATTACGAAATCCAAGTATTTTGCTGCATGTATCGATACAGTTCGAATTGGATTTCATCTGAGTCACATGTGTGAAAGTACGTTGATGAGTCTATCTGTCTGCACACAATGTGCTCACAGCGTTACGACTATGATTTTCATACACATTAGTACTTCACACCTGAAGATGAGCGATGTCGCAGTCAGTCAGTCCTACAGGATGCGAGGATCTTGCAAGGGAGAGTTCAACATCAGCTCATGCAGATCAACGAAACTGAGACCTGCCTGCCTACGAGATAGCAAAGCCTTCGCTCGCTGTTTGCAAGACTGGCTTCGTCGATCAGTTTGGCGTACTGGCAACTACATGCCGCACTCCAGCTTGGCGGTCGATGACTGCAGGGAGAAGTCCTGAGTAGTTCAGTGTTGTGTTTTAGTGAAATGCAGGTGGAGAATTATGAATCCAACGGGCAACATCAATCACACACCGTTGGTCAGAACTATGTGGCTAAACTTAGGATTATGGGAGCACTAGGAATGATCAATCGAAATAAAGGTAGATCAGCGGGGGCGGCATGCTTCTGGGGCGATGAAGCCTCGGGGCAATCGGAGGCCCGAAAGCAGATTAGAACGTGGAGTCGTGCCTTGTTTAGGTTAATCAGCCCCGGCAGATAGCGCTCGTATTAATATCGAGGTTACATAACCTGCGTCATGTGCCTGGAATTCAAGTCAGAAATGAGAATGCATGCGACCCTGAATACGAGAATCTTGCCTCGATGGATTGGAGGATTCATTGTGCAGTGGTCTTGCGAGCCATCATTCCACCGAATAGTAGCTAAAGGAAGGACCATCCAGCGGATGCGTATGCTTCTAAGCCACGTATGACCGACGGCTTGAGCCGACTGAACCGCGAGGCGTATAGGCAATTACCTTAAGCGATCAAAGTGACCCGGAAGGCAGGTTGTTATGACCGCATAGGAACTTTTTGGCTGGACTATGACACATTGCTGGTTCACATCCGCACTAAGCTGCTGTCATGATGGATCATGAAATGGGGATCGAAGGCAGTCACGGGGAACTTAGCGAGAGTCCAAGGTCCACCGACGCAGGGAGAGGGAATACGATGGCAACGTCACTTTCTCAATCGTTTGAGTACCCACGAGCTTGTTGTCATACCATTGATCTGTGCTCATTTATTTGATGGCCTCTAGTAATACAACCTTGACTCTTGACTGGTATAAATCCGCTCGTCCGCCGCCACTCCGGACGGTATTTCAACTCAAAACATCACGTCGTCCAATACAAGCCAACAGTTACAAACAATCACTCCCTTCTCATTTTAATTAACAACTCAAATTGTTTCCTCAAGACCTCGCGATAATGCAGATCACCAACCTCTTCCTCACAGCCCTGACTGCTGCCTCTGCCGTCTCCGGCTCACCCGTTTCGAAGCGTGAGGTTAAGTCAATGATGGCCGCGGGTGTCGCGGAATGGACCATTGAAGGTTTTACCCGCACCTGCAATGCTGAGGATACCTCTTGCGACTATAGCTTCAACATCAACACCCACATCGCAGATCCCACAGCCTGCAAATTCACAACTACCGGCGCACCTGCAAGCCGCGCTGCCTCAAACGCCAAATGTGGAGCTTTCTCTGTTACATCGGGCTGGAGCGGACAGTTCGGTCCGGATGCGGGATTCACAACCTTCTCTGTCACGGACCAGAAGCTTATTGTTTGGCCCGCCTACACCGACAAGCAGCTGGTGAACGGCCAGGCGGTAAACCCTGACCAAAGCTACGCTCCCCAGAACTTGCCTTGATCAGGTCGCCACGACATTCAATGGAATGAAACGCAGAATTTTATGCCATAGAGCATCAGAATACAGGATATGTCAATATTGTAGTAATCGATTGTCTTAACCCGTCGTATTTTGATGTTTCGAAGCTGCGGTTCGCGAGTGCATACATGACTACCACCGCAAGTGTTCGTAGGTCTCTCTGTGCATCAGCGACCGCTGCAGACGAATAAAATTGAGTTGCTTACCAAACAATCACAATAAAAAGCAAATTGCCAATTAATAACATAGAGTTTTGGTGTTACCCATGTTCGGGCTCGCGAAGACCTATTTTAGGTACGTTGTCTTGTCAATCCTCATAAAGTAATTATCAATATCACAAGTCTCCGCGCTGTTGCCAGTCGCATGAGCATCACCGAACGATGTCACAGAGGCTGTTAACAATTTAACAGCGATTATCATTTACTGGTTCATAGAACGTCCCAAGCGATGTGCGAAGGGCCAAGATCATCACCCGCCCACCCCCCAGTATCTGTCTTGTCTAGATATTCCAATACTGGGCTAGGCTCAGTCAATCATTAAGGTACCTTACTTTATTAAACCCCGGTGGGTGTATGCATTCGGCGGCCCCGCGTGCAGGCGTTGCGGGAGGTGGATTCAATCGATTGCGAAATTAAGTAACGAATGCTCCTGCTCCACTGCCAAAGCTCGTCGATTACTCGACCTTAAAAGAGGGTATTGTATCCTCTCGTGACGGAGTAGATATCCTGCTCTTCTTTATCCCTCTCACTCGTACCAGGTTCAAAATGGCTCGAGCTCGTATAAACATTATGGACGACCTTGGTTGGGCCCGTGCCAAGTCATTAATTGCCAAAAGACGCGCCAAAAGATGTGAAGTTGACACAAAACTTGGTTGTCATGTTCCAATTGGATGTCGCACCCGAGATGGTTACGCTCAGGTCAGCTTCACAGAAGTCTGCTCTAGCTTCAAACACTAATCGTACTTCTACCATAGATATGGACAAAGAGCAATGCCAAAGCGAAAAAAGGCCTCACTGGCAGGAAAGCTTCGAGAGCGTACCTACTTCACATCGTCGCCTACGCGCAACTTCACAAGCGAAACCCAAATGATCACGTGTCACACCTATGTGACAATCCCGCTTGTTTCAATCCTACACATCTGGTCGATGAAACGGCAAGCAACAATAATAGTCGGAAAGGCTGCCCAGGTCCAATCCATTGCTCTGACCACGGTTATTTGATTGTGAATCTCTGCAACCACAACCCTCCTTGTATTCGACCTCCACGCCAGGATGTGCAATGCTGTTTGTCGCACAAGGAATTTCAGCCCTAGAGGATGCTATAGAGTGTAGATCGGGCATTGTGTTGTGCCAAATTTGAGTTTCATCACTGAACTATGAACGCTTACTTCAATGTCACTGCTGAAGGCACCTGTACATTATGTTGCAATTGCACCACAGCCTAGATGTTCATCAAGAGTATGATCATTTTAAGTGTGTGCCACTGTCGATTAACTGATGGTGACGCTTACGTAGCCACTGGCTGCTACTTTCCACTGGAATGCCAATTGTAATCTACAATATCCAAGGCGCAATCAGGTCATTACGATCGTGAGCGCGATGAGAACTTAAGGACAGTCGTAATATTGCAAGTAGGAAGTTATACTATTCTTGCCACTGGCTACGAGTCTACAAATCCTTCCCACCTGATGTGATGTTGACTAGGTAGACAACTAGACTGGAGAGAATGTCGACAAAAGTCGCTCGATAATCCTTCCAGTTAATTAATGCTCCCACTCTGAGATCCCGAGGGGTACTTCACAACTTGATACTAGGGTCAATTAGCTGAGATTCCTTGACTTGAACTTTAGTAGCAAACATGATCCGACTAACCCACAGCGAATAGGTGCTGCACGTCCCTTGTCACTTAGTAGTGGACAGATTCCAAAAATTCGATCGCAGGCTCAGCTGCAGGCTCAGCCTGCTTCTTGTAATGGACTGATTCGAGGAATGAAATTGATGGCTCGGCGTCCGCCTTGGGAGAGCGCTTGTAGTGGACAGACTCTAAAGGTTTGGTTACAGGTTCGGCTGCAGCCTCGGCTTCGGGGGTCCTCTTGTAGTGAACAGAGTCAAGGAACTCAATAGCAGGTGCCGGCTCTGCAGCAGCGTTGGGGGATTTCTTGTAGTGCGTAGACTCGAGGAAAGAAATGCTGGCTTCGCGTGTCTCTTCGTTCATAACACCGGTAGGGGCAGCAACAATCAAAGAGGCTCCTCCGAGGAGCAGAACGTTGAAAATTCTCATTGTGTTTCTTTGTTAGGGGGAGACTGAAGTTGATTCTTTGACAAATCTCTTTGGAAATGGAAAGGCAGTGTGTTTAAATAGCCGTTTCCACAAGGCGAACAACAGTGAATTCAACCTGCTGCTATCGGCGCACTTATCTCAAGTAACCGAGCCAAGGCGTGGTATGAACGCGATTTCAATCACGTTATCACTGCAGCTGATCCAGGCCTGGGCAGGCGTAAGCTTCATCCGCGCCATAGTACATGGAAACTTCTCCGACTATCCACGTCAATCTTGTACATGGCGCGAAGTCACTGATTGCTTCACGTCCATCGACATGGGTTATCCCACATGTTTGGAACTTCTGCTGCGGAGCCTACAGGGATCAGAACGGTGGTGAGTTCGCAAATGAATTTAATCTGAGTAATGGAAGGAAATAGAGTAAACACATTGACTTTGGTGCCTGCCAACCTGCGAAGCTCGGTGATGGACTGAGCTGCACGGAGAAGTCTCAAGTAACTCAGTAAAGTGAGTTGAACCAGCAGCTTGAATAAACATGAGCAAAAGACATTGCTTGTTCATAATGTGGGATTCGGGATCTATGCTGACCATATTGGTTGGCTTGGTGGTCGAGACTGGTTCATCTGGATGTTTCCTTCTAGAGAAACAAGCTTTTGAGACCCGCGTTAACTGCTGCGCATTTTCAAGGAAACCTGGTGGTCAGTTGCATATTCGAACAGACAAATTCGTGTCGATGGAAGAAAACAAGCTTTCTAGATCCGCCCGACTAGACGAATGCAGAAGGTCGATTAGTCGGTCCCGAAAACTGACTCATTGTGTCCTGTGCAGCTGTCGGGCCTCAATGATGTTTTCCTTATCATAAACTCCCCTTGTCTCAAAGATAGAGAAATCCACCCTGTCCGATGGCGAGTCATATTTGCAAGGAGCCCCTCGTCTGTCGCTTCACATCAGTGAAAACTAACTAACGGTCAGCTCTCGGATTTTGAACAACCACAGAGCTTAAGAGAGCACCCTAATAGTTGATACTTGCAATTTCCTTCCATTTTGATTGTCACTTTTCTTGAAGAATCGGCGTCAATGGTGTTCAGTAAGACAGGACAGTCTCGCCACGAACGAGATCTCCAAGCAGAAGAAGAAGCATTCTTCTTGGATGGCGATAACATGCAACTGCCCGCTAAAAAAAGCAAAACTTCATTCGAAACCTTTTCTTTTCCTTTCTTTTGGATAAGCTGTGTACTTCTTGGGCTCTCGACTTGGTTCCACCTCAACCCAGCAGGACCATCGGATTTGCAGTGCGTCAGGAAGCTTAATGTTTTGTGTGAGTCCAGCATCGCACCTCTTTCAAACGATTGGTAGTGTCCCAGACTCATGGGATACACAGCACCCGTTCAAGATATTTTGGAATACGAAGATGTGCAGTTTGACAATGCATTCTGGAAGACCAGCCCTTATAAAGGAAGGCCGACTCCAGAGTTGGAAGCAAAATGGAAGGATCTGTGGTATTGTAAGTTGCACGAACGGCCCCTAGTTTATTTCAAAATGGCCTACTGATCCAGATTGGTATTAGATGGATCATTCGACTTATCGGATGAATATTTACCAGCATTGAACAAGACATCACATGGTACCGGCGGTGACTCCTGGGCACGCACAAAGCCAGGCTATCTTTTGGCTGGCCTCGAAGTTTTCCACAACCTTCATTGCTTGAATCTCGTACGTCAGTTTGTGCACAGATCCGAATTCGATTATAGCGACGATCCGGCCTTCCACGGTGGAGAGGATCTTGTGCTTGCCGTAAGCGCTCCTTAAGTCCAAAACTTTGCATTGAGTGACTTGACTGGACTGATTTGCTGGTTTGCTTCCGAAGCTGACTTCTACAGCATGTTGATCATTGTATCGAGGCATTACGTATACGACTGCAGTGCTCGGCTGATGTAACCCCGTTCTTACACATAAATGGCTCTCGGGGTATTCAGCCAGACTTCAACTCCCAGCATAGGTGTCCCAAGTATGATCGCATCGTTGAATGGGCAAAACAGCGCCAGATCATGGTGGATACTCCGAAATAACATGCAGGTCACCAAGTACCTAATCACCACATGCGGTCCAGAAACTTTGTGCTTCATTGCTAGGAGCTAGATGGTTCAACTTCCATTCTAGTCATTTTTTGGGAAGCGGATGACGGACGATTGAGTTAAATCGCTAAATCCTAGCGAGACGAGTAAAGGACAAGATCAATGTCGGGCAATATTGGGCGATTTTGCTTGGCCTTCAGCACAGCTTGCGAAGCTGCCAGAGGCGCCCAAGTGGTTCATTCCATGTGCCCAACCAAGGTTGTTAAAGACAGCATTTGAGGCTATACATTCGTTTATGTTCGATATGGACACATTTGTCCCAATTCTCAACGCTCGGTCAATTTAATGTTTCTGCTTGAAGACTGCTAAACTTCGATACTTGTCGCTGGAAAGGATCGTCGCCCCGTCGACTTAATCTGAATCATCTTTACTGTTCAAACAAAATACAAAGACTCCCATCTCCTGCCTTACAGGTTCCAAATTTGAGCCATACCTAATCGGGGCAACTTATGCCTGTGAAGCAAAGGGTGACTTGTTGCAAGGCGCAATGTCGTGTCGCTCTGCACCATTTGATGGACAGGTTCCTAGTGACTGGCCACTCTTTGTGATTTCCGTGCGTGCACTTCTCGTCGTAGACCACGGGGCTTTAGTATAAACCAACAAGGATGTCACCACGGACGCGAGCAGTCAAGTGAACCTCGGCTTCCAGGTCCAACTTGATGCCAACCATCAGAGCAGCTTTGGTCAACTTCCCGTTCTCATCAACAGGACCTCTGAGCAGGTTACCTGAAGTCGTATTAGCAAAAGAGGAAACTTGAGCCGCGTATTGGAAATCATTGGCATACCAACAGGGCCATTTGCGGTGCCAGACAGGTTGGGCATGGGGACAGGGAGGCCTGGTGCGGGCATGTTTCCCCTCATCCCTGTGTTGGCTGGTGGGTAGGATGTGGGATAGGCAGGCGCACGAGACTGCTCTTCCGCTGGGGTCTTTGCTCTAGATGACAGTGAAGATTAGACGTCGAACCCAACAAAACGGAGCTAATGTTGAAGCTTACGGGGAAGACATTGTGGTTAGATATCTGACAACTTGATCTTGCAATGAATGCTGGAGCTCCTCAGGTGAGCTTGTTTCGTCTACTGGTTCGGAGTTGAGTAGGCCGCGTTCTTTCAGAAATTGCTCTGAAAGTGATTTGATCGAAAGTGTCGGGCTGGTGGCTTGCGGTTCTTTCGGGGCCTCTGCGGTCGTTTTCTCCCCTATCGATGAAAGAGAGCCTCGTTTTGGGTGATGGTGTTGATGACTGGGATCGTCAGATTGGTGTTCCTGTGGTAGTGACTGAGCACGAGAGCGGTTGGCTGGTGAAAGGTTGTCGGTTGCGACTCGAATGGGGATCTTGAAAGAAAGGGATCTTCTGAGGGCTCCTGGCACAGCAGAGTAATCCTCGGATGGCTTGACCGAGGGTTCTATAGGGACAGCGACAGCAGATATCCGCTTTGACGAGGTGCTTGAGGATCGCGACGCGTGATTTGGCCTTCGTGGAACAGGTGGTGGTTGCTGCTGTTTGGCGTCAAATTTTGCTGATATTGTGGCGATGGGGGAACCTGTTCCCGCTGGCTTCTTTTCAGTGATTGACGTGGTGCTCTGTAATTTGGATTGAGATGCGACTTGGTTGGCCATGATGGAGGGGGAGCATGGTGAGCTTTAAGCTTCGATCCCGAACTCGGCTGACAGAGCCCGGTATAATTACTTGATGCTATCCTCCTTCCCCATCTATGCCTCTGGAATCATATTTGCTACAGAACCAGCGATCAACTTGGTAGCAAAATGACATCGTCTGATGTTGAAACCAGCCGCTCGGATCGTATCTTGCGTCGTGTTTTGTCGGTCTTGGCCAGAACGCGTCGGTCGGCGCGGTTCGCTCATGCGGAATGGCACTCTTGTTTCCAGAACATCTGAAAAATGGTTCGCATGGTACGATGTGGGTGAGTCGATAGAACGTTTGTGGGTTGCATTGGGGTTCGCCTGTGTCTCAGGATGTCTTCATGGGAGCTTTGACAAGGGTCCTGCAGCTACTGGACCCTGGTCAGGGTCCTTGTGCCGGAGAGTTTCAACAACATCAATCAGGGACCACCAGGCACTATCGAAGATCTGCAGCATGGGCATTGTATCTGACATCTCTTCAAAAGGCATAGAATGCCGTCTTCTGTCAGAAGGTGCCAGGAAGCTCCACAGGCATCAGCCGATGATCTCCAATCCTTTTTCTAACGTCTCTTCTGATCTTTCGAGGTTTCGAAGTCTGAAACACTCCAAGCATTATTCTGACTTATGGGGTTGAATCGAACGATTTCCCGAGACTATCGCTACCACGCTGTCCTCAACGGCCTGAAATGAGCGGCAAAACGATTGCCTGGTCATCCACTCACCCGTGTGAAAGAGACAAATCGCTAGGACTACTGGTGGGCAGAGTCGCATCTCACTGACGAAATCCTTCAAGTCATCGTTACGTGGAATCAGAGTTCCCGCTACAAACCATCTCTCAACTGTCCACAGAGCTCTAGATAACACTATTATCTTCCACACAGCCTTAGCAGATGCAAAGGGAGATGGCTCTCTCACTACTCATCAGCTTCGCCACTGCTGTGGGCGCCTCTGAAGGCATTAAGGCTTCCATGGCCAGATCGCGTCGAGAAGAGCATCGAAGTCGAAAGAACAACCTTGTATTGCACTGTCCCAAGTCATCACAGTTCAGCCCTTACCTCGAAGGACGTCAAGTCGTCCTTTCTGGCGATAGAGTAAGCTTTCTCCATCTCCTTGCGTATCAGAACCCTAAATAATTGAACAGCTATTTGTGGACACCGGCACAGCTCATGATGTTCCTTTCGGTCACCCGTTCGAGGGCTATTATCTTCCTTACCCGGACTCACGCTTCTCGGGGCTAGTGAGCACCATTACCCATGAGGCACCTATCATGAATTGGATATTCGTCGATCCCGTTACATATCAAGTCCGCTTTGGCAACCGTGCCATTGCGGATGGTAATGTGACTGGGCCGTGGGAGTGTACTCGACAAGATCGTAGGCTTACCTTTTGTGGATGGGAAGGCTTCTGTGCAGTCTTGGAAGATAGTGGTATTTGGGGATTATATTTTGACTGTGATGGTGACAGCCTACGCCAAAAGATAAAGCCCGAAGGACGCATAGTCATCGAGATTGAGCTTATACGAAGAGAAATGAGGACGGGAAAGCCAGAGTATCTCGATCCAGAGGGGGAGGCTACGGATCATGAGCAATTGACACCGCAACCGCCGACAGATGCCGAGGAAAACTTCGTATGTGGGCATAAAGACGTGGAGCCAGATGTCAAAGAGCACGAACGGTCTTCGGACATGAAATTCTTAAATCACGACGACGGCATGTTTGCATATGATTTGATATCAGAGAAGAATAACGTCAAGGTATGAGGTTGAGGAAAATGTCACGTCAGCTCACATAAATAGGCAAGGACTTGGGCATCACTAATGTTATCGTTGCCAAAAGCATTGCAAAGTTCCCAACGTTATGTACTTACAAGTACGATGAACGCCAATTCATTTCATATTACAGATATCAAAGATAAGCTAGGATATGTGAGTGTATGCCTTACCATATGTCAGGGTGGCATGAAATGTATTGGAATGCGTTTCGGGTAAGGGCCTGGGATTTACCTTCTCCACGATGAATGAACAATGCATCTCGAGTAGAGATAAGGCAATTTGGAAGGAGATAGAGCCTGCTAGATGAAGTATGTTATAAGGTTTCACATGTTTTGTATATCTACTCATTAGCTTGACGGTTCATAGAAGCCATATTGAATTGAAAGTGGTGGTACACTTGTCAGTAAGACAACCTTCCGGCAAGGGAGAATTATAGCACTTTGCTGTATTTTCTCTAGGTATCTGATGCACATCAACCCCTCCAAGATGGAAGTAGGTCTCTGCAACAGCCCGAAGAGCCCTACCTCCCCTCTTCCTATAATGGATAAATGAGGATAAAGACTGGCGAGGGATTGCCACGCAAATCTTCACGCCATCAAACCCTCAATGAGAGATAGATATGAAAGATGAAAAATAAGTTTACACTTCCGTAGTTATGTGATACGGAAGCTTGTCTAAGACCATGACAGGACTGGTTCTGTCTTTATGGTGATGATGCGCTATGCACAGCCAAGGCCTCGCCGTGTTGTTCAAAATTATAGTGGCTGCGCCTGTCCTTATGGCATTGCCATTATTCAAGAGATATCTTCAATTGAATTAGGTTCAGAATTTATATTTTGCAGCACATATCCATCTGTCTTTCATTAGCCACCTTAGCTGTCAGGCACCGTGATTTTAATAGTCAAGTCTTGTCATCCACTGCCTGGCAGGGGAGAATCGCATGTGATTATTGCATATTCGTGTCAACTGATGGCCCTTATTATGTTTATATAGTCAATAAGAATAAGTAACTGCGGGTTGTCCCGTTAACTATGGCTCGAACAGATCGCTCTATTAAGACTTCGTTCCGAAAGAAACCCCCTTAATGCAGGTGTAACATGAGACCAAGAGTGCCATTTCGTAGCTCGGTATGAATCTCCTTAAAGCAAACTAAAGATTTCTGAACGCCTCACAGAGTATGTCTTTGACATCCACTTTAGTCTCATCGCTCTTACTAATCGCAAGTTGGACAACGATTCTCGCTATCCAGGGGCTGAGGTTGTTCCCAGAAATGATGCCCATCTTCTTGTGGTCTTCACTGTCGGTAACATTCCCAGATAAAACTCGTACCGACTGAACCACCACACAGCCACCTTCAATGGCAACATCAAGCCCAACTTTCTCTGCCGGTGTTCCTAGTCCAGGCGCAAAACCCATGGATATGATCCCCCTTGCTCTAGCCTTGACATACGCGTCGATGCCCACGCTATCAGCACCCACGTAGCTGCACACTATGTCGACGCGCGGAGCGTTGGCAAGCATTTG